TTCCAAACTGAATGACAAAATGAACGATACCCAAAAGTCTACAGCATTTCAAACATCATTTTTGATCTACCTACTTTTCCTCAGTACATTCTAGTAAATTAACAGTTCATAATAATAGACAATCAACACCAGTTATTTCGTTTTTTTTTCTAAAACGTCTTCAAGAGTTAGTTCCTTTGTTCTTCACGTGTTTACTGCTTTTTTCATTGCAGACATTACAAGTTAATGTCGATAAAAAGTGTACATCTGTTGCCAATGCGAGATAAACAGTCTGTGCGACGCCATTCGATACGCCAAAGCGGAGGACGAAGTCTCTTCTCTCTCCGACGGCGGCAATCATATTGCGCACTTTTGCAAGAGAAAATAAAATCGGCAGCACTCTTTGTAATTTCAAATGGCGTGTCAGAAACACACTATTTGTTACTGAAATATTACTATTAAAGCTCAAAGTAATGTAGTACACCATTATATTAACCATTTTATGAGAAGAAAACTTGTGAATAGCTATATGACGGGGACTTTCTCCTATTATTTGTAACGGTTATGTAAAATTATAATAATTATATTCTAAATTACGTACTAATACATCATTCGTTTTTTGTGTGCTACTTCCAATCATAAACACTAACGGCACTGGTCTGCCTAACAAGTAGCTTGTTGACATTCCGCCAGTCCATTCCGCCGATCCATAGAAATTAAAGACGCCACGATATGAAACGATAAAAATATGAAATTACATGATACTGACAAGCTGAAGAATGTATTAACGTACATTCTCATTGCAAGAAGATACTCTAGAGATTTTCAGTCATTGCAATCTGTATAAAAAGAAAGGAAACTTGTTACATATTGAACATGCACAGCTAACCAGGAGCTCAGAATTGGGCATTCCTCTCAACGAAGGCAAATTCGCAAGAGAGAGGCAAGGGTAATCGAAAAAATGGAGAAGTAGATTAAAAGCCGAATGTCTAGTCGTATGTACTATAGATAAGGGAGAAGTTTGGAAAATTCGCTCAGAAGAGGGCACACGTTTACAGAAATTAGAAACTTTTCAAAATCGTAAGGTAAATGGGTACTGAATTTGCGAACTGAAGATCTCTTAAATGTTTTGTAGTATAATCTAAGTACCAATAGAATGAAATATTGATGATAATGTTCATTGTACATTCATTTCAATGAATGATTATACCCTCCCCCTTCGCCAAGTTATTGCCCAGCATTTCCGACACGCAACAACGGCTGGAATGCTGGAAAAGGAGACTCAAAAGCATGCGAACATACGAATGAACGTATCCACAGGGAATCGCGAAATTGATCCTTATCATCACACATCAAACTGCACATGCACATGGAACATTTTATGCATTTTTATAATTTTGTTTATTTTATTTTAGAGGCGTCGCAAACGTGACTTCTAAGTCATTATCTACCACTATTGCGGGTAACGGTATGGAAACTGTGAGGATGACACGAAATGATTATAGGGGTGAAAGGACGAACCCGGTACAACCATGCCCGAGGCGGGACTCGAGCCCACGATCCTTGGTTCGAGATCACTACGGCACTACTGCCTTGGCGATCTCGGCCATCCGGACCGGCACGTGACATATTGAAGCCAATACGTATTTCGAAACAAGTTGTCAAGTTCAAAATAAATAATCGATGTAGTAAAGTGTAATGTTTTATTTCTGCAAACACGTCGTGCGTATGTTCCATTCCATGGGGCGCTCGCTCGTACCAGAGCCGCTTCCTGTTAACACGAGGCGACTGCAGTCGCGTCGGCCGACCTGCCTTTCGGAGCGCAGGTTCCGAGAGATGGCAGCCTCGCGAGCTCCCGGCGTGACGCACCGCCCGCCCCACCCCGCCCCTCACCTCACCACGCGCTGCGCTGCGCCGCATGCGAATGTCACGCGAGTTGCGACGGACAGCACCTTGCACCATGGCGGGCGTCGCGTCTCCGCTTCGATGTCGATGTTTTCAGAACATCAGTTTTTAAAAATATAGATGTTTTAAACGCCGATGTATTGAAACCGATGTTTTTTTGAACATCGATGTTTTGGGTTCGATGTCTCTACGTTTTCAATGTTTAGTTCGTGGATGAAAGATGTTCATAATCACAATTTTGTAAAAGTTCAAATAAGAAACAATAACTGATGGTACCAATATCTCTTTGTATTCGATCGAAACGAACGCTGTTCGCCCTATCTTCATCGAGCAGACTACCATCCCTTGCTCGAGATGATCCTGATGACCTGGTATTGCGTTCGTCTTTCCTGTATTTCGCACGTGGAGAGGCGTTTTGTAACATTGTTTTCATTTAAATTTTAGTTATAAATTAATAAGCACGACCATTAACTAATTACATTTTGTTGCGCACGAATTTAATGTGAAATGTTATTAAACCAACTTTAAAACATCGATGTTTAAAAACATCGATGGTATTTAGCCGATGTATATTTAACATCGATGTTTGGCAACATGGACGTTTTCTTGTCGATGTCGCATCACTAGTCACGATGCGTCGCGTCGCGGCGGCGGTGGTGAGCACAATGAGCTGAATGCAGAGTTGCGACAACGCAATGCTACTGCGCTTAAATCAGAGCTGTGCCGTAGGCAATTTTACACCTATGGGTGTTTTCTACACGTAACCTACATCTAGACTACATGACTTTTTAAGTGTAGACTAAGTAGAGAATGTAATGAATATATATAGGTTTTTTAATATTTGGAATAAAATAAACGAAAAAGGTTTTTAATAACTAGTAACAGCATTTGCACGTTAAAAAGTAACCTCGGTAACTGCATCACAGGTACAATAGTGAATTCGAATACATTCAAGGACTAGTGGAAGCATATATCTAATAAAATGCAAAAATATAACACGGCCTACGAAAATGTGTGAAGACCAGTGAGCTAGAAAAAATATTTCGAACGCTAGATCAACAAGAACTTTCAAAGGCAATACTTGTAGAGAATTGTAGGAACTCACTACTAAGTTAAGAACGACACTGCAAACTGTCTCGTGTTCGTTTGAACGATTTTGTAAACCCTCCTCTCAAATGTGATTACTGGAAAGTTCAAATACATGTACGCTATGTGCCTCATTCACTGAATATTATACAAAAACGCGAAGAAAAAGTATCAATACAGTCATGAAAAAATTCTAGGATATTAATGATTGTTAAAGGAGAATAGTAAGTTTTGCCACAGAAATGAACTTCTACAAAGATATAGTTTATCTACTTAAGTGCAGCAAATAAAAGGATGTCAATTTAATAAGTGTGCAACTTCTTTTTCTAAATCATGTACTATTTAATACTAAACTTATCCATTTTTATAATATTACAGTTTTTTTGTATTATTATGCATCTTATGTATTGTTGTTTCAATCTTGTTTATGTACTGAGCATTACGTTATTAACTGCCGATGTTTAGGTTTTGTAACTAATAACCTCGTTCTGAGCTCGTAACCTCCCTCCATAAGTGATTTTGAAGCAATAAAACTGTTAACTTGAAATTTAAATAAATATTACTTCATAGAGCTTGCACTCCTTTGGATGTCACCCAATCAAAATGTGGCACCAATTCTTTTCAATAAACGAAATTAAGTATAATTTGAATTAAATGTTGGTTTTGGAGGCTGCATGTCCCTCATGGATTTGCGCATTCCACACTAAAAAGACTTGTCTACGCGTAGACGCACATCACGTGGCTTGAAACTCGCGACGCCAGCAGTGCTGTTCACTCAAATGTACAGACTTGACCTCGCTTTTAGTGAAGGTTTTGAATTTGCGAACAAAATCCCCTATATTTTGCTATAAAAACTAAAGAGTCAATGCAATTGAATTCGGAGAATGAAAAGGAATTTGTTTGAAATATTTTACCCTTCTCCAATCCAGGTTTTGCTCGACATCTGCGTGAACACGTGCATAGCTCGTTTCAAAGGCGCTTAGATTTAGATTTAGATTTAGATTTATTCACTCAAAAACACAGTAAAAATTGTATGTGAGGGGGGAAATATTATCTGCGCACGTTTTCTTGAGTTCCAGAATCCCTTCCCCTCATTGTATCCATGAATAGTTGAAAGATGAGTAAAAGTTTAACATAAATGAAATAAATAAATACACTTTAAAAATAAATTTTAAAAATTGTAAGATTAGCAATATTTGAAAAATAGTCATTTTTGTTTCTGAGTTATAGAAAACATATTTGCATCCGTACACGAATTGCAAGTATGACTTTTCTTCATTGCTAACAAAATAGCAACTCGCCCTTACCTGTACTCTTACTATTACAAGCAAACGGATAGTTCAACAAAACGTGCGCATAGTGAAGCTACATTTACGACCAGAAGCAAAACAAGGGGCCATCTCAGCTTTTGCTCAATGAATCAGGGAAACTGGACAAAAACCTGATCGAGTGGGGGGCTTCATGCCAACTTACAATTCACTTTTGTTTTCGACACCCCCTTACAAAACGAACTTTCTCCACAGTCCACAAGCGGACATGAATGCGAAGTGTAGGTACCTAACAATAATATTGTGCTCGGGCGCTAGAATTTGACATTTTCGGCGAATGCTTGATTGATATATTACAGTTATCTCGAAGTGTTTCTGTCCCGTATTTTCTGTTCGTGATTTACATGAATTTATCTTTTTTAAACAGCATCGTAGATGAGTTCATGATGAATTATAAAATTATGCAGAATAAATGGGCACTTCTCTATGGTCGTTTCTTCCTTCCGACAGAAAATATATTGAAGTTTTCTTTCTAAAATGAGAGGAAGGGAACTAGTATTGTATTATTTATTTATGAATATTGTTCTGATTCTTATTTGTAACTTCAATACAATCTGGATACCCAAAAATAGAGTATAATCATTGGCAATACGTAAATTCTCTCTTTTATTTCAACATGAGAAACTATTTTGATATATGAAACTCAGTAATTCTGACGAAAAATGATATTACCTATTTTTACCTGGTGTCATTTTATCTGAAATGAAGTGTGCGAATTTCTCATTTTACGTATCAGAACTTTCATCATTGGTGTCGGGTATTTCCCTAAAAATCAGACGTGCAAAGAATGAAAATACTTCTGTTAATTCAGAATAAAACATTGCTACACAATTATACAGGCTAAGATCTACATACAGGGCGAAGTAGTTACGTTACAAAAATTGGTAACAGTTATATTGAGAATAAACGAAACTGGTACTACAAATCAAGTAATTGATGTCATATTTATCATGAGAATTCACTCAGGAATAGCTATGCAACGAGAAGCATGTACATTATGGGCACCATCGTAATACTAAAAAAGTTATATGGAAAATTACTACTCACTCTTATCAGAAGGGATGGTTGGTGCAACGATATCTCTCATAACCTTGCTGTGGCATTTCTGGCCGTGCCCTCTACTTCCTTGTCAATAATCTCTCCACTGCGATGGAAATAAATTAATTGAGTAATATAGCTTTAAACTGATATGTTTTCGTGTCACGATCCTTAAAACGAAACGTTTTCAAACATTTATTTCGATCTATCGCTTCCTGTTTAATGTAATATACAAATAATCGTGATCTCTAGGCGCGTAGTAAGAGTAGTACAGAATGGCAATCAACTTTTCGAAATAGGATCATTCTGAGAGCAAACATTTCAAATAGATTTGTATATTTTATTCAGAGTCCTCTTCAATTTTCAAAATCCGCAGAACCAAAACCTCTAATACTTCTGGCGCACGACGTCCCATACTTTTTAGCTGACTGAGTCCTTTTTGAAACAGAATTTGAATGCAGTGGCCAATTTCTATCTTGACAAGCTACTAACTAATAGTACATACTGTATATAACATTAAACACACAGAAATAATATTAAAATTTCCCATTTTGTTGTTTGCACTACAACTGTTTATCATTATTTGATTTTATTGGATGATTTTTATAGCCGAACCCTTGTAATGGAGATTTAGCGATTTCTAGATCAGCCAAGAATTTGGTTATACTCCTTTTCCAATACCAATCTTTCGTTAACGTCATACAATTCAAACACGAATTACTCTGTTTTCCCTGAGTAGAAATTCGGCGGGCATCTGAAGATTTGGCAGATTTGATAAGGGATCTATTTTCGAATTAATTAACAGATATTTAACCATGAATCAACTGACTTTTTTTAATTTTTAACTAAGCTTTAAGCTAAGTAACTACACCTACTTTAAAAAGCCCATATTCACAACTAGAAAATCAATTCATCCGTTTTAAAAACCTTTTTTAGGTCCTGGCCTTTGAAAAATAAGTAAGTTTTATTGGTCCTCAAAAGTAATCATGAGCTGCGAGAAAAGTATACCACTCTTTAAAGAAGCGATAAATGTAACGCCAACTGTAGACTTTTCTTGTAAAATGGAGGGTTAACAAGTCAATTACTATAGATATTAACAAATAAGTGGTCAAAAAATGTTACGATAATTATGACCCTGTAATCATTTGCAAGGAATTCCATTTCAAATTCTTATTGTAAAAAAAAGGAGTTTATTTGCAGGAAATTTGTCATAAAAGCATTTTTATTTTTTATAGGAAATGAAACTTTCGACGACTTAGCTATCATGATCAGATCTGCCTTTTGGGGACCAAAAATTCGACTTCTAGCTAAATATCATATCAGTATTAACATCTTTTATTCAAATATTGGGTATGCCAATAATGTATCACCAATAAACCTACCTATAACACACCTTTCTGAATCAGTATGAGTTATTCCATTTACCATAGGAAATAAGGTGATGAGGGAGAGCGCCCACCCGTTTCCTCCCCATACTGGCCCCCGAAATTGGGGAGAATAAACTTCACCGACTTCAAAAATTATGATGTGGTCGCCTGAACGTTGTCATTATAGTTGCTAATCTCAGACTACAATCCATTTTTAAGTTAACGGAAAGGCTGAATTGCTCTCCAGTGATCTGAATTCACAGAGTTTTCGTTCTCAAAATATTTGGGGGCAATTTGTCAGGTAATTTTTATAACTGTAGTAGCGCGTCGTGCAGTAGCGTAACGAAATGAGTGCTGCCAAACTGTTATCCGCCCCCCTTTGTAAAAGTGTATCAAACACAAGTAGTGTTAGTACCTTAAATAATAAAAATTCCTTTAACAAATCTGTATTCATTAGTCTACGATTACTATATAAGAAATCAAGATTTCTAACATTATATTTATTAAGAAACAGGGTTACATAAGCTACCAAAGCGGAAAAATATCGATATTTTGGAAGATTCTGTTTTTAATATTTTATTGTAACTATCGGAAAGTATCAGAGAAACTATTAAGTGATTGGCATTTCTTGCAATCGTAAACGTTCAGTCTTAAAAGAGGCCCTCTTGTAGCTGGGCCCGCCCGCATGGCGCCCGAACGTTACGCCACCGCCGTCGAGAGAGTTGGCTCACTTGTTACTTTTATAGCTCGATTTTGGCACACCTTCGTTTACTTTTTCACATTTGTACCAATGTCAAAGCGTTTAATCAAACTCTGCACCTTCATTCCCTTTCAACAAAGGGAATGTAAAAACCGCGACATTTTGTTCTTTCTTGTTTCTACATAAACGATCTTGTGAAAAATTCATCGGTTCAAAAGACCCCAACGTCTCTTCCGAAATTCTTCGGATTCTTCAGTCTGCTGGGGCTTTCTCGAAGGACTTCAGATGAAGTCATACATATCTTTTCTTCCTTCTATTACTAAAGAGTGTGTGAAACAATCGATGTTTTAGTTAGTTTTATTATACGTAACTGCAATGATTTTTTAGGCAAAGATGTTTTGAGGGGTGTACGACACAAAACATTTCGTTCCTTTTGCGTTTCTGACATATTATTCAGTTGTTGTTGTTGTTGTTTTCGTTTTTTTTTTGAAATAAAGATAAATGTACATCATAGTTGGGCACACATTTTCATTCGAATGTAACACAAATATATTTTTCCATTGTTTTGTACGTTATAAGCAAACTTCTAACTAAACAAATAACCAAAAAGTAGAGAAGAAATATTCACTTACAGTAAGAATTGAATTTTGACAGTATACAGCGGGCCTATTTATGAGAAAACAACTATTTAGTTGCAGTTTGTTTGCTAATTATTTCAGTTTTACGCAACAGTAACTTTCTTTCCGGATGGTCTTCACACAGCGGTCAAGGAACCCTCACAATAACACATTTGCCAGCGTTTGGATTCTCATTTGTAATTCAGAAAACAGCTAATCTAAACGACGTTTCCCCTTTCCGTCACTGCAAACAAGGGAATTGCTGTCTTGATTTATGTAACTATGTTTAACGAATGGCACATGTCCATTTTTCTTTTTCAAACAACATTAAATTTTAATTTTTTGTTCAGTCATTTACGTATTAAAAGTTTGAGGGAAATCGAAATGTGCTGAACATGATATTATCAGGGTAGACAGTCCATCAGAAAAGCGAAATTCCTAAATCAGGGTGATGGATACATTAATGAAGCCACTTTGCAATACACTGATTACGAGCGCCAATTAAGGTGCAAGTGCTTTGCAAGGTGAAACTAATAAGTCAATGTCTTACGCGCCGACAACAAACGAGTTGAATCTGAACCACGACCCTCGAACAACCAATAGAGATAGCTATAAACGGATATCGTTAAATAGAATCTTGTAAACACACTTTGTCATTGAGGAGTTTATGGATAAATAAATAGTCCTTTGTAATCAACATCTGAAAGATTTGATAAGTAATCGTGGTCTTTAAAACCTCACTGCCGGGCCTCATCGTTGGAGAAATGAGAAATAGAGGCAATGACGCGTTGTCAAGACGCTAAAGGTATTCATATATGTTCGGGCTATTCACAACTGGCATCTTCTATCTCAATGACTGATAAAATTATAAACAGGATAGGAAGCGATATAAACGTTGTTTTGGAAATCACCAAGGGATTTCCAATCGTTTACCAGATTCTGACCTTTACATTTCGGACGAAATCACCAGTAGTTCAATTTGTATTGTAGAAAGTCTGTAAATGGGAATTTACTGCTCAATGAATGTTTTGTTCACACTGTTAATATGAGAGGATGTTGGTGAGGAAGGGCGCACTTACAGTCGGGGTGAAAAAATCGGGCACCTTTTGAGTTTAGACTCGAGTCCCCTCATATGCACCACTTCCACCAGCACTTACTAATTGAGCGCGCGCTTATAGGGTAACATCCAACTCCTTTCGAAGATATGAATAGGCTGAGGCGGCACAGAGCATTAGCTGATGTCACTGCAGTGCCTCTGACCGGGAGGTTCTTGATTCGAGTCCTGACGGTGGCAGGATTTTCAAAGCTTGCTAGACAGCTAAGTCGGATTAGGCTGTTATCTGGAAGCGAATTTTAGCGCCCAGCTGCTCTGATCGGTTGTTTTCTATGGTTTATCCTATTAATACCGCGTGAATGCCGGAGAAGTACTTTAACAAATGGCCCACAAACCTCTTCTTCGGCTTCTCCTCGCCCCTTACTTACTCACACATACACTTATATGCTCTTCGCTATCTCACAGAACGGAAGACCGGTCGGTTGCTTAGAGATTGTCCCGGCTGGGGCGGTGCCTCATTGGTGGGAGATACCTGGATGGGGCAAACCTCCCAAAGCCAACGTGTAAGTCGATGCCTGATCGGACCATCCAGACCGCCACTTCAACCCATAAAAACACTTACGGGACCATAACAGTTGACGCGCCAAAGAGCATGAAATAATCAATCAATCGAAAAAAATTAAATTAATTTATTTAATTTAAGGCAAAAATTATTTTTTTAACGTATTCCTTGCTTAGTTTGAAGCATGTGTTTATTAACACTCATTTAAGAATCGCATCCGGCGAGTGCGCACGAAACATAGTCCTAGGTAACGGTCGCGTAACTGTTGTCGATAAGTCGTTGACTGGGTGACCTCTCGGAGGCTATCATTCCTCCTCCGGGGAGCATTCCAGGGCACCTTTTTTCTTCCTCGACGCGCCGCGCCACGCCGCGCCGTGCCATGACGCGCTTTTTGCGTAAGAAATTGCGCGCGCGCGCGTCGAGTCTTCGCGGGAAGGCACTTTGCCCCCCGTGACGTCAAATGGGGGAGTAGGCGGGGGAGGATTTTTTTTTTTGAAATTTCAACCTCGCGATAAGCTCGTTTTCTCGAACTCTGCTCCCGCGTCGTTACCCGGATTCAACGCGAGGCGATTCCCGCGCCGCAGCCGCACAGTGCGACGTGTATCCATGTCGGGGGGCGAAAACTATTTTCAACCAGATTTTCAAATTTAATTTACGTTGTGTACATTCTAGTAGTTTATATTCAATACTACATTTCGTTTCGGGTTCCCAATTTATATAAAGTAGGCTATAACTTTCTTTCTTTTAATTTTTGTTCATTTAGGCAAAGTTTAATCGACGAATGATTTTATTAACCAGTGTTTTGCAATAGTTAATTAATGAAAGTAAACTCGTTTTAAAAGAATGTGAAGAATTTTCTTACAGTCTGTGGTAAATTGTAACATCAGCCCACTATCCGTACCTTTTTTCTCATTTTGAGGAAAATGTTCGGTTTTTACATGAAAAATCCATATCGATAGCAGCTACTTTGAATCATCCGCCCAGGTCTTCAATATGATTGTAGTATTTTCTCGGTAAACAACTTTAGTCTGGTGAAAAACGTTTATTTTAGCCTCATACGGGCAAATGAAACGATTTTGGCTATGGTAACAGCGTCATCATTTAATTACTGGAGAACGAAACGTGCTTTTGTTTGAGCTGTGTTTCAGAAATTCGACAAGGTCGTGTACAAATTCCAATTAAAAAAATAACATATTTCGCGCTCTGAGATGGGGCTAATTCCGCACTGTGCAATGCAACGTGGCGGCCGCCCTGCAGCCAGGGGGCGCCGCCGCGGCGCTTGCCAACCGGAGGCTAGCCCACAGCCACGCGGCGACCCCGGGGGCAGCGGGGGTGGGAGCCTATCTCCGCCGCAGACGTCACCGATCGATCCCAGCCGGGTGCCCGCCGACCTATTTGGGACCCGCTGGAGACGAACTCCAGAGCGGGGGCATGGAAGTTCCAATCGGCAGCATTATTGCAATTGCAACATGTGTGAGGCCGCCCGCTTATCGCGTGTGGAAATAAAGACTCTCCCCCTCTCCGTTTCGACACTCGTATTCGTAGCTAAGGCCAGCAACGTCGACGAATCCGGGGATGACAGTGGCCTATTTACTAGCGGTGCTCGCGGGTCGCCGCTGGAGCTTATGCAAGTGGACGCCGTTGTTGCTTCAACCCGATGAATTCTAAAACGCTAATCGATCGATATTTACAGGAACCGATGTTTTGATCCTTGGGCTGGTTTATATAACGTGTAATCGTTGAATCGAATGAAATGAAAATTTTAATTTAATGTCTTAGAGTAGCTGAAAAGGCTTTAATAGTCAAGCTTGAAAACCACTGGCACGCCCAGGACATTGACTGACACACATACCATAATAGGATTTCCTAACACCACTCGAAAAAATTTTCTTCTGTAATCCAAAAGGATGTAATGTGAAAGGATGCCGGAAATCCAATCTCGTGACTCTGAAGCAGCGCACGATTTTGCTATTGCGATGCAACTATCGAGGTACTTGATTGGTTATCGTTATGTCAACCCAATCGCTTGATACTATGTGAGGACGGAGGAAATTAAACTCTTGGCAATCAGCGGAATTAAACAAACAACGAACTGCAAATTAAATTCAACATATAGTATTAAAAGCTTTATAAAGTTACTTTCTAGCATTCTTACGATACACAAAGAGATACGTTTACTGAAGATAAATTCTGAATTCTGATTTTGTGTGAACGATGATGATAAAAAGTAATATTTTAAATATATACATTGATAACATGTGTGATATTATTTTTTCAAATACAAAATTGTGTAACACATAATAAGAAAGGCATAAAGGAAGAACTATTAAGTTGTAAGGAATAAATGCATTATAAGAGAGTTAGGGTAATAAACAAATTAATTCCGCGATACAGCACAGCGATGCTGTTCACGCTCCACGCAAAATTAACTGGCATAAGAACTCAATCGGTAGTTAAAGCGCACTTAAACAGTTTATGGGCGGATGATAAGCTTTTAGGTAGAACTAATTGAATAAACAAGACTTCTATTGTTCAACTATCAGCTGACTTCGGTAACAAAGCATATTCTTTCAAGATGCTATCTGGTCTAGCGAAAATGACAGCGCGACATTAACGCTTTGCTTTGATTCGAATTTTCTATAGAATTCCATTTCCGGTCAGCGAAAGGTGGCGTTTCAAAATACCAAATCCCTTAATATACATTTTCAACGGCGGATGTAATAATTTTAAAAATAGATATTCTAAATAATAACTCTAGCCTCGTGGCTAGCTCTTGGTCAGCGTGCTCGCTTCCCACTACGCGGCCCCGGGCGGGTTCGATTCCCGGGCAGGTAAGATTATAATGTGCGTTTTCCTTGCAATACCGCAGTGTATGTTGCTGTGTGACGATGAGACAATTCACTTCTCAGGTTGAGAAGACCGGAATAAGGCGTGGGGATGCCTACGTGCTGACCAAACGTACCCCCTTAACCAACGGCCGATGCAGGGACGTTGCCGGTAGATCTGAGCCCGTTCACGGGCGGCCGCGTCAGGAGCATACATAAGCTACAAATAATAGCTCTAGTCCAACAATTACTTGTACATACCAGCATCTTGTATTTTTCAGTATTTGGCTTCAACTTCTTTTTTATTTTTTTATTTTTATTTAGCTTGGTGATGAACTTAGCTTGGGATATTAAGGATTTTACAAAGGGGGGATATCTGTATGGATAGCAGTACTGCGCTCGTGTATTCGCATTTAAAGAAATGGCCGAGCATTTAGAGAACTAAGAAGTATATTAAACAATTTTGATCTGAAATATTGGGTTAACGTGTGGAAGAAGAGAGATTTCCTAAAAGGAATAATTGAATCAACAGTTAAAAGTTATTAACGTCATTCAGCCGATAAACACCAAATAACAGGCGCGGATGAATTTTGTAAATTGAGGCGATACCCGAGGTTTATAACCAACCACGTCCGTTATTTGTAATATCGGCCGTGTGTCATTCAATACTTTCCATTCTTGTAAAAAAAAAATAGCGAGTAACTATTTTGTTAGCAATGCAGAAAAATCATACTGGCAATTCGTTTACCGATGCAAATTAAGTTTTATATAACTCTGAAACGAAAATGTCTATTTTTCTCAAATATTGCTAACCTCGCGCTGTTTTAACGTTTTTTATTTATTTTAAACTTTTACTTATTTTTCAACTATTTATAGTTAAAATGACGAAAAGGGACTCCTGAACGCAAGAAAACGTGCGCAGTT